ATAAGCTGAAAACTTAAATACGATACCGCCAAACTTGGGATAACAAAAGATTTTATAGCTTGGGAACTTTGCGGTTTACGAATGTATGAAATTAGAATTCTAAAAACTATTTCTATGGTTGTGTTACAATTGCAATAATAAGTACAATAGAGTAGGTAACGTGGAATACATATGAATTTTAATGTGTGTAGCATGTAGATATTTTAAATTTTCCTCATTTGTATTGTCTTTATATCAGCAATGTTGTATTGTAATTTATGTTAACAAAATTGTAAGGTAAATAAGTAAACTACCAATTGTTATTATCTGACTACAATAATGTACAAACGCAAGTAACACCTTTTCCAGTGTTTCATTGCTGGTATTTTACTGTTAACTTCACAAGAAGAATTCGATCACAATTCTATCGATGGAGAACCCCATCACTCTCAATCTCACTTTTATTTCAAGAATTTCATTGCTCTCTTCAAAATATACAAAAGTGGCAATGATTTCCGGTTATCCGGTGATCCGGAAGTTCCAGTATGCGATCGGATAGATAGTAATGTCACCTATAAAATTATATTTAACAAATTTTTCGTATATCGTCAAATAAAAGAGATATTGAGGAGACCGTATTATCCTGAGCGCACTGTTTAGTACAATAAAATTAGACCAATTTTCCTCCAAACCCAGACATTTATAATTAAAATTATTAAGGGGGACCTCTTGGAATATGTTCGAACACCTTCCAGGATGACACTCAAAAAAGTCTCACGACCTCCCTAGTGGAATAGCCGGGAATCCTGGGAATTTCAAGTAAATCGTTATAAATAACGCAATTTACATTTTTTTGCATACAAGACATCTGAGATTTTAGATTTATTCTTTAGTACATTCCAGTGTCCTGGAAAGACTGTCATTTCCATAGGTAAAAGCTAGAATAAATATAGACCGACGGCAGGACGCCATATTTAAATACCAAATGACTTTCTATTGTTCTTAATATGTTGATGTGAATATTTTCAGTTTCAGGGCTCCAGGACACCTGGAATTTATCACCAATTGATATTCCCAATTTAAATGCAGTTTAGGTAACCTTGTATGCTAAGAGTTCTTATACCTAGGTCTTTATTTTTCGCTGTTATAGATTTCTTTTACTTAGTTCTTTGTTTTGCCGTTAGAGGCTATCCGAGTGTTAAAGGTTTCTTTTACAATACTTCTTTGTCTTGTCGCTAGAGTTCATGCTTTGTACCTTTCTGCACTTAATGTTATTACTTATTATGAAGTAATAACGAGCAGTACGGCATACCTACACGCCCCTCCTCCCAAGCGCCCTCCAGTGGATTTTGGCTTCACAGTGAGTCCCCCTCCCCCCAAGGCGAGAACCTGTTCGAGAGGGAACGATTTTAGGCCCACTGCAGAAATTTTCATCACTTTTCCAGGATATCCAGGCTGTCCCACTAGGGAAGTTGTAGGACTTTTTTCATCGGCATCCTGGAAGGTGTCCGAACATAATCCAGAAGATCTCGAATTATAAATGTCCGAGTCAATACCTAATTTTACTGCAGTAATATCAGTACGTAAGAAATTGGTAATAGAGGGGCTCGAAACAATGGTTATCAAAATAAACTAAAGACCCAAATAAAGTAAAGGTCCAAAATGTTTGGGGGTTGCAAGGTATCAAAACGTTTGATTTTTTTCTCATAGAATGGAATAAGCGGATTTACCATAGCCTTTCGGGAATGACCGAGATGTTTACACTCCGAGGGAAAAATGTACATGGGCAGGAAATTCTACGATTTCTTCTGAATATTTACAAATACCTGCAAATCCTCGAATTTCCCTCGCTACAATTTCTGCGGCTGGGAATGATCTTCTCTATTTTCGCAAATATGTCCAATCAATGTAATGGGGTGTTCGTGACCATAATTGTATTACGTAAACCCCCTCGTATAAGGTTAGCAATAAATATGCAAAAATATGTATATAGATGAGAAATTTTGGACTATTCGAGACCCAACTAGCTGTTGTGATTGTGAATCATATCCCCTGATCAAGTACCTATACATTAACCCTTAATGAAATAATCGATAGTTAATTGTCAAGATTTGCTAAATAGTAAATTAATCTGTAGATAATTTTATGAAAAATGATAATTTTATTACTCGATATGAATAATGCGCAAAAAATGCTAATAGATTAGAATTTGAATTGTTTCTTATTAAAATAATATCCACACATTATTCATATTCATAACGATGTACCATTTGAAGAAAGGAATGATGCACTTGAATCATTAGGGCTTCATTTTGTTAATTTTTGATGTCATAATAATAACTCCGGAACATTTTTCCACATTTTGAGTTGCATAGTATAAATGATACGCATTCACTGTTGTTTCTTTTCAAGACTCTCTCTTAAAAATAATTAGCTACTTAGGTCATAATACTTCATTTTAATCAGAAAAATATTCCTTACAAAATATAAATTGATCGCAATAAGAGGAAAATACACTGTATTATGCTATCAAATGGAAAACTTCACTGAAACCATTATATCCGAATTTCCCTTAAAAATTTACTATAACGTTACGGTTTCGACCACAAATTTGTACCTACTGGTCTTAAAAATTCAAAAATTGCAAAAATGAATAAACAGACACGTTCACTTTTTATATTCGGTTAAAAATTAAGCCATTTCGTCCCACTACATCAACATCGTAGCTCCTACCTGTAAGATAACAGAGACCATGATGATCGGCGAAAAACGGGCACTCTGTATAATTTACCTTTGCGATCAAAATAAAACTGAATGCATCTAAAAACATCATAAATCAACTTTAATGAATTGTATACAAACTAGTTTTCTTCTTTTCTATCAGCAACGAATAGAACTATCCCCATCCCAGTCAATTTATTTTAACCTTATTCGTATTCTCATACACATATATGGTGTGATACTAATAAATGATTCAGTTAATTATAGTGAAAGTAGAACGAGTATAAAAATAATTTTAATTGTATCCTACTCATTTTAAATGGAACAACGAAAATGTCAGTGGGGGGGGGCTTTTTTATGGGTGCCCTGCAACATGCCCTACAAACTAGACCAGAAACAAAAGCGGAACTGTATTTATTAACTACCATGTACCTATGTCTACATGAAAGTGGTAGATTTTGATCAGTCAGCACACAGTTTTATTGATTCTCACTCAAGGGTGGAGATCCAGTATCGGGAAACAATGTTATACTAAGGGGATGACCCCTGTCCTGCCCTATGAAATATTGTACTGACTCATTCAACCCCTCGGGGTGTTCCTATTGATGTAGGCTCTTGCAATGTAGATAGAGCAGGAACCTCGTGTATGTTGCCAGGAAAAGATCAAGAAACGAAGAAACAAAAAGGCTGCAAAATACCATCCATCCATTCCGTAGTCTACAGAGTCCACAAAACCACAACGACTAGTGTGCAAGTAGACTCAAATTTTGTCTACTTTGAAAAATAGTACTATTTTGTAGTTGATGTAGTCGGCTCCAATTTTTTGGGGTTGAGGGACACGAGCAACATATTATGTGAAAAATTTACTTTAATTACTGGTTTAATAAAGGGCTTAGGAAAATATCATGGGCTATTTTTTCGAGGGTCGGTAATAAATCGCCATCGCTGTTCTAGGTGAATTGAAGTCTTGGATTTGTATTTTATCGCTCTCCAGGATATCACCTTATAATTGGAAGACTAAAAGCGGCAAAAATAAAAGAGCGCGTTTAGCGGTGGTAATTTAATAAAGTGCGCGGTACAAAAAGATGTTTGCTATGAAATTTCGTTCGTTGGGTATTGTTAAAATGAATAAAATAAATATTTAGCGCTAATGTTTAATAACTATAAATCATCGAGCAGCGCTGTAAAACTTCAAATTATATTACGCCAAATTATAATCGTACTCAGAACGGCGAGTTAAACGCAGAAATACATTTTTTACATTTAGAAACAAATTAATGGCGAAAGGTAGGTCGTTCCTTTTTACCTTAATATTCGTTAATAATAGAGACAAAGATGCAAACTGCAGACGTTTACGATTAAATAAATTTAAAAAATGCACTGTAATTCCTTTGCTGATGAAATTATGCGCCATAAAACCGGCGAATAGTATAATTTATATTTAGTTGGACCTTCGAAGTATTCCACTTAAGTAAGTTAATAACGCATGCGCGCTTGAATAAAAACATTAATTATATGTGCCACTCCGATGCTCGTAAATGTTCAATAATTTTAACATCAAAATAGTACAACAAAATTGCACCCTCAACTTCTTTCAAGCTCCACTTGAAGATTACATCTGGCACCATTTTAACTTTTTTCCCCAGTGACTCTTGGGTTGTAGCCTCTTGTCATGAAATTTGCCATAATATACTACCTATAAATCTAAATAATTCTGTCTAAGTAAATATAAATTACGAACGTAAAATTAAATTTGCTACATAGTTGAATTGAGGTTATACCTTTTGGCATCATTGGACAATAACCAACTTTTTTATACACCTGTTGGAATAAAATTTATTATTAAAGACGAAAAGGAGCGACTTTTACGATTCCAGTTCACCAGATCGAATTAGAATCTTTCGCCCCTTTTGCAAATTATAGCGCGGGGTAAGGTGTACTTATGCCGCTTATGGTAATTATGAGCTAGAAAATAATTTTCGTAGAAGTCGTCGTTATTTCTAAGTTATAATCTTAGTTCATTGTCACGCTGAATTAATATCAGACATAAACAAACTCCTGGGGTTCATACCCAATCCAGTCGAGACAATATGTGAATTGGTTAAACGTAGGTGTTATTATATTTTAATATGATGCACCTAATGCACGGTTTGATTTATTGTAAGTCATGAATTATTGCACGGAATACATGAATAATGTATTTAGTTAACTATTATCTCCCTGTATAATTTGATAAGTAAAATATGGTAATTGAATTAAAGATGGAAGAAAAAGAGAAACTACAAACTATTGAAACGTACCTGACGCACCTGTTTGAACTGTTCTTCGAACGACCATGTCTGTTGGGACGAAACGCTACCCTCCGACGAATGTGAACTACCCGACGAAGGCGCCGCGGGTTGTGGTGCTAAAGGTGGTAAAAATGCGGCGGCCGGGTGTTGAAAGGGAAAAGGTACTGGTAATTGAAAACTATCTGGCGCTGATGATGTTCTATTTGGCATTGGGAAGCTTAGGTGTCTACTATCGAAGTCCTCCTGTAACAAAAGGCAATATTAGTCATTAAAATTATTTCCTCGCCGTTATCGTTGCGGGTTGCCACCTTTCCATATACAGTGATTTACTTATGACTAAGTTGGCGTTAATGGCAAAGCCTAAAGGACACACTGTAGAGGACATGCAAATTAAAAATCGTTCCATGGGGATATTCTCCAATTATTTTTGCGGGTTGTCTTCCCCCACCTCCCTCTTAAATAAATGGTGAGAGTAATTTTGTCTAAAATGACAAGTTCGGTTCCTTCCAACTATCGTACTAGTGCTGTTATAGGTACTTCTATGCTTTTTTTAATTCTGAGACCTAGCGCTAGGATTTTCGTGTTGGCGCGGTTCAGTACAACATCAAAATTATCATTGTATTTAAATACAATGATATCATTTGCAAAACTTACATTAGAAACCGCCACACCCAACCCTTCCAATAGCACTGTCTACCGAATAATGCAAAAAATATTCGCCTCGCAGTAGACGATTAGTGAAAAATTTTCTCTAATCTTCACCTTCAAAGAGTGAAAGTTCGTGAAACAGAAAAATGGCCCTAACTAGTGATGCAACGCAAGTGCCAATCAGAGCATGCAATAATTGATATTTTATTTATGAAACTAGCTTCTCGGCGGAGGGGAGGGGGGGCTTTTTTTATTCACAAGAATTTAGAATCCGCCTGAATCACAATTCAAATTATAGTTGCAAGAAAGATCAAGTCTTACGGAAATTTTCCGCAAAGCCGATGTCAATAAGGGATCGGGGAGGAGGAGGAGGATAGGAATTAATGAGACGTTTCATTAAGGAATTATATCCGACCTCGATAATGGATCAGAGAGGTGATCGATAGTTGGTGGAAATCTTTCGTTAAAACCTGTGAATGAAATACTATAAACGATCAAACCAATAATACTGTGGTACCCCCATTTGATTTGACGCAAATTAGTCGTCGCTTGTAAAGGTTATGCCCGTTTTTCTTCTCAAAACGCCTCAGGACATAAAATTTTGAAGAGCACCTAGCACACCTTCAAGGTACAGGCTACCTATTGCAAAATTCTAGAATAATTTCCTTAACAGTAGTTCAAAATCACAGAAGTGGTACCGAACGAACGGATCTACGCATCCATGTAAGCGATGATTGCGCATTTTCCTTTCCTGAATTCGGCTCCATCCATTTCCACTGACCACCAGTGCGGAAATTCTTTTACGAGTATATAGTGCGTTCGGGATAAGAGAGTCACCTCAATATCTCTTTTATTTGGCGAGATACGAAAAATTGGTGTACGAAATAAGTATCTTTGGAACCGGAAAAACTTATGAACCGGAATGGATTTAGAATCAGAATCTATATAATTAGAATTAGAAGGGAATAGAACCGGTCTTCATTTTATATCGTGCATTTGCAAAAGAATAACAGGTGCCATTAGAAAGCACAATCATTTGTTTCACTTTATCTAAGGTTAAAGTGATCACTTTATCTATCCTTACGGTTAAAGAACGGCTTATCCTACTCATTCAAATCTATTAAAATGTCAATTTAACATATGCTATAAAATAAAAGTTGTTATATTTCCATTTTGCATAAAATACTGCTCTCGAAGCTTTTGTTTTCAGTACCCTTATCTGATTCATGGGAGTACCGCATGTAGTTCGATTCTCGACTGCATATGTTGCTCCTTCATCTCGCGCGGACTTCAGCTCTTGTGTCTTAGCATATACGAGAAGGGGGTTCTCTAATTACCGTTTCTTCTGTATTTATGTATTGCTTGGGCGACTTTAACATGAATTTCTCACATGCACTTGTTACGTAATGCATTTGTTACGTGTTAAATTAATTGAAGTCGATGCTGGAGTAGAGCTATGCTTTTGGTGTGTCTTTTTGTACATGAAATTGATCATTTTAAGAGTTCTTTCATCTTAATTGAACTGTAGGTTTTTGTTTTACCTTATTTGATTGATCGTGTCTTGCATTAATGATGTCTCGTGTTTGTTTTTATGAATTTGTTTAACTGCATATGATGCGATACCTGATTTCTATTGTGCAAATTGCGACATTTGACTTGTGTATTTCTCTTGTATGTAATTAGTTGTAGTTGAATTATTTTTGTAGTTTTAAGTGTTAGTCCAACAGCGGCTGACCAATGTGTGCGTAATATATTTTTTAGCGCATTTTTTTTAAATTAAAAAAAAAAGTGGTATTGTTTGCGTTTTGCCCGTCCCACTGCCCCCCCCCCTCCACTCATACTTTGATAAGAGGACAGAAAGAAGGGTAGTATCTGGTAGAAAACGGTCCCTTTCGTTGAGACCTTTACTTAGAATACAATGAGAGATAAAATTAATTTTTAACCCCCCCCCCCCCTCAAGCCCCGTCGCTCACTGATCTCGAAAAAGAGTCACACGGGAAAGTTATAGTTTGTACAAACCACTTTATTTCGATATGACCTTTCTTTAGAAAACCGTGAAGGATAGAGCATGTGTTTATCCACCCATAAAGTTTAACTTGGCACCAATAAAGGCATGCGTATGCAAAATTTGAGACCAATTGGTTGTCGTATGTAAAAGTTATGCACGTTTCACTTTCAAAAACAGCATCTCAGGAAATAATTCGTGGGGGGGGGGCCTTTTAGACAGCGGAATTTGATTGCCGTCTGGCAAAAATTCCAGGACTCTAGGACCATTCCCCTAGAAGTAGAACGGCAGAAGTGGGTCCGGACGGACGGACAAAACGCAAACAAAAGCAAATTTTTTTTAATTCTTAAAAAATGCGCTAAAAATATAATCTTGATACTGCTGGCAAGGCAAAAACCACGACAAGCTTATTAAAAACATAATTTTGTCGATTGAATGCGTCGTTTCGAGAGATTTGGCGTTGTGAACGTAAAAACTCGGGATTTGAATAAGAAACCTGAGAGTATTTTTTAGAGATATTTAACTCCATAGTTCGCATTGATCCATAAAGGTCTACCGTAACTGTAAAAAATTTATAATTATTGATCTGACAAAGAAAAGTTATCGAATCTGGACATGAAAAGTAAGTGTGCATTTTATTTATTCGTGCTATATAATATAGGTTTGCCCTTTTTGAGTCCTTCTGCACAGTTCAATTTTGAACAGCTTTTGGATTTGGAAAGAATATATACAATATACTACAAAAATCTACGGAGATTTGAGACATTATTAGTGCGTCCTGTTGACTGGGGATGGAAAACAATCAACAATGGACTGATTCCCGTTTCTTGTACTAAAGAGCGGCTCTAACACACCTGCTGAAAAGCATTTCTTGCAAATGGCGACAGGGTTGCGGTCCAGCTTGCAGTTGCGCTTGATATGTTCCTCAATATGCAATTATTGACAAGGCTCGGCATGTGCAAACGTAGCACCAACGAGGACAAGAATTCGGACGAAGAAATTGAGACGAGGGTCGACAATTTGATCGAGCAGCCGTCTGGTGACGAAGTCGAAACAGAAAACGTGGATGAAAAAGCTGCCCAAGATTTTCCGAAGCCAGAAATTCGTCCAGGACCGCCGTCGCGATCAATATCGCATTTGGTTTTGTGGATTAGGCCTTCAGGGGATACCACATTAAAAAAACGCGCCGATTGTTCCACCTCTAGGGTGGTGTGGAAATGAGGATACCGATTAAAATGGAAAGACATATATTATACTGTAGGTTCACTCTCTACTTGTAACAGTCAAACAGAGCAAATAATGAAATTTTATCCTTGAGTTTAAAATGCTGTAATTCCGAAACTGTTGTCCTTAGCAAAATAGCAACGCTGTAGAGAATGTAATAGTGAATAAATGTTTGTGCTACGGACAGCCGTTTGGAAGATATAGAAGAATTTATGATTTTGGCCCCCATTTTTGCAAGATGGCGTCGCAAGCGCCGCGACACCGAGTTGCAAACGTGCCCACTTATTTAGGATGCTAAACTCCTGCCAAATTTCAAAACTGTATGACCTTTTGCATGGTCTACCTATACTGACTGGGCCATACGTATGAGAATTCTTTTTTATTGGTTGGTCCGAGATTTGATATCTAATTCGATTACCTCTTAATTTAGTCATTTCAGGATTCGATTTGATACAACATTATCATGCGTATACGTTCTCTTCGAGATAAGTAATCGGTTGTGAAATTGGTCACCATCCGACGTGTTGTTAAATCGATTAGGTATTAGATAATGATTATTTAAAAAATCAAAATTCGATTATCAATTATTCAATCTTGATAATCTATTTTTGCTAAGACCACTGGCTACATGAACGCTAAATTGCGTTGACGACTCCTGATGCGACTTGAATAATAGGATAGTTAACTAATCAATTTTTGAAAAGACAATCAAAACCCAGTTAAGCGACTTTAGTTTCAAGTAACTCTATCAAAAGTTGTTTTTAAATTTTTGTATTCATTTCTAATTCGATACACAAGTGTAGGATCTCAGGTGTGAGCTGGTACCTGTAGTCGCAAAAGACACGTGTCTATTGTACCGAATATCCAATCCGTGGCAGTCATTGTCGATTCGATAGGTCTCAATGATCTTTTGTAGAACTAAACGAATCACAATCTGTGTGTCTACCAGTAAAATGGAATCAAAGTGGTTTCTAATGTTTAGGTTTACGGGTGAACATGTTTAGATCTTTAACAGTTCCTGTGTGAGGTAATGTAGCTACAAGGTATGGCTGCACACCCCTTCAGTTTAATTAATTTCCCTTTATGTCTATAATTGTGTCGCGCTAAACTAATCAAATTTACCTGTACCTTGATGTCCCGCACTTGCATCTTCAGTTTGGCGAGAACATCCTCGTGGTCAGTGATGAGTCCGGTGTGTCTTCTAATTTCGTCACAACTATCGGCATCCTCATGCTCGCGGGCCGAATCGGCCTCACCCTCGCTCATTTCCTCCTCATTATGTGACTGTAACATTAAAAGAAATCCTTAAAACAATTAACTAATTTAAGAAAGTTTGAGAGGTACGGATATTTTTAGCAGGTCACGTGCTTTATGAATGGTTAGGGTAGGTCGGAAGTGACGTCACAATAACAACCCACGCACGCCGAAAAGCCTTGAGTCGACTCCGTTTTTATTATTATTATTAAACCAATTACAATGCGTGTCCGAGTCGACAGTTGCATTTTAAAACACCCCTGCTTCATTTTATATTCAACGATTAGTGTAAACCTACGAGGTGTAGGTAGAGAAGAGATTACACGCAATCGTATTGGTTTTTAATTACGTTTGAGTACTACTGGTTTGTGATGAAGGGTGGTCTTGTACGAGTTTCAAATATAAACACAACCCAAAGTTGTATAAGTATACAGGCCATTATATAACACCATTTTGGCGTCATTCTCTGTGTCCTATATTTTAAAAGTTAATTTAAACAAAAAATGATGCCCTCATTCGTAAATGATTTAGGGATAAAGACTTTTCTGGTTTGTGTATACGTTTAAGTAGCACTTATGCTGCCTATTTAATTTAATTTAAGCACATTCGTAATCAAATTTAATTAGATAAATAAACCCTTGCAAATTAATCGAAACCTGCAGGTTGATCTTCGATTTAGTTAGTTAGGTGAAAAAGAAATGTAGAGGGTGAGTGCCATGTGAGAATATGCTAAAAATTCTGAAAAATCTTTCGGGAGGAAGTTGGAAATTGGGACGATAAAAAATTAGCTTATCTTGAGTTCCACTTTTCTCACGTCCCTCTCAGTGTAACCAAATCCTTAATAGGTTGTGTCATCAATCACTAGCGACTTACAACCATTATGAAAATTAAAAAACTAGATAGAAACAGTTGTCATTAGTGCCAAGTCCTTCCCTGTGGAATGGTTCGATACAAAAAAAGTCGCAGGGTATGATAAACGTTTCCTTTGTCAGCTACAGGATTGCACAGTGTCGTCATCTTTACTGCTTAAGATATTGCTTCTCTCAGAGGTTAGGGTGTGTTAGGTGGGAAACCGGAAACGCTGGATGGCGAAGGAGCAATAAAAATGAGATCCATGTCCAAACGACCTGTGCTACATGAACTATTCTTCAGAAAGCGATCATGTCATACTCCTAAGAACTTCCACCCATTGGAGTCCCCATATGGTAACTACTTACAACGAAGAAAATATGTTCCTTCTTAGCTTTACACTTTTCTTTCGATCAATGTCAAAGTTTGGGATGATGCCACCAATCAATTTAAAGACTAGCATGTGCAGTGCTGAAAACCGTTGTGGAAGAAATGAAATTGCACAAAACTTACAACCTGAATTCACCCAGTCCTCATCCTACCATCCACTTAGAAGAGTCGCGCAAAACCGTTTCGGGGGTATAAAAAAAGAAAGCAACCAAGATTGCTTAATGAAGCAGCTCAGGTTGAAGTTTTGGGCCAACTTGCCATAAATCCCTCAATGTCAACATTTAGTTTTTTTGTTAATTATTAAATTTTTGTTAAAATGTCCTAATGAATATTGACTTTTTTGGTACCACTGGAAAGCATTTTTCAGTAGCTTTCCAACGATGTGTCACAAGTATGCGGTTTCCATTTAGGATTTATGAAGAAGGGGGGTGGGGCTCATAACAACATTCTGGTTCCCCCTTGATACCCCCGAAACGGTTTTGCGCGATTTTCAATATCTTGTATTAGAGTTAAATTGTTCATTTTTCCTTTACCGCTACTTAAATAAAGTGCCATTCAATCTTCCTTTTCTGACGAGTAGGTATACTATACCCCCCCCCCAGTATAAGCCAACACTAAACATTTTGGGGAAGAATATACAACCCAATCCCCACCTCCGCGCCCGACGCCACATTGAAAAAACCGAAGAAATTGGCACTTTCTTCAGATTTTTTTAGCTACAAGACATCGTATCTAAAAAATTCACTAACTACAGGTGAATGACCGATACCTGGCATTAGAAGCCGAGATGTCAGATAAAATCGACGATAAAATATGCTTCATCTGCAATAAAGATTTGGAAGGGACCCGTACAGTGAAACGGAAAGGAACTGAGACCTTACGTCAAGTAGCAAGAAAAAATGACAAAAAGAGACCATCTATAAATCTTAGCGGAGAAAGAAGAAATAACAGTTCATAACACATGCCAAAAAAAATACTGCAATGAGGCTATGATAGCCACCTATTTACGCCGTGTAAGTAGTGGGGCTCTGGAAGGCTGAGAAAAGAAGAAAGAAGATTCTGGTCCAGATGCGCTCGGTAAGGGATTAGTTTCTCCTGACTTGGATCTCGTTGTAGCTGATGCACAATACCGTCATTTTTGGCAGAGGAAGTGATTTCATATGCCTTCCAGAAAGGCTATAGGTCGTATCCCACAGAAGAGACGGTGATATTTTTATTTATTCCTTGAGAATATTGACGACAATCAACAAGAAATTAGGAAAAGGTTGCTAAAAACGTACATGTGGAACTAGTGCAGGAAAATAGGGAAATGTGGAAAACCGTACAGAGAAGACGAGATAAAATGATAGGGCACGTCCTCAGACACGGAGGATTAGTACAGATAGCTATAGAAGGTAGGTCAGAGGGCAAGAAGGGGTAGGACGACAGAGACTTAGATACATAGATCAAATAGTTAGGGTAGGCAAGGGTAGCTATGTAGAAATGGAAAGATTAGTGCAGGATATGAAAGGGTGGAGGACTGCCCCAACCAATCCTAGAATTCTGAACTCCGAGAAGAAAACTGAGGAATGTCACTGTTCTCTCCAAGAATTAAAAGAACAATTAAATGCCGCCTACTGGAGAAGTTCGGTGAATATTTATTTATTTCTTTATTTATAATTTATTATCCCTCTCTTGTTCTGGGCCCTCAACAGGCTTGCGCCCAATTACATACAGAGTGACCCGCATAATGCTTTTTTTAGACGTTCCTCTGCAGACGATCTTAAGTTGTTCTATCTATACCACTCCGGTATTTACCTTACGAATTAGGAGAACTGCAAGAAAACCTAATTCGGAGTAGCCAGCAGAATGCTCGAAACTGGTCTAAGGAATTTCCCATCTCTGTCACAGATGAAAAATTTTTACCTCAGCTTAGGTTCGAACACCCGACCTCCGGTTTATAGCCTAATGCTCTACCATGAACCACAAAGTCGGATATCGTCAAAAAACAACGATCTATTTCAAAAATGCAGGATGTAGATTGTTTTCTATCATCCCTTCTGACTGCATTAAGCGTATTTGTGTACAAAAGGTTGGATGCTAAGCTTCTGATAGATTTGATGTCATCTCTTGTTCCATTTCATCATATTCTTTTGGTCTTACTTTTTAAAAAAATGTTTAAATAAATGATTCTGTTGTGTTGGTGGTTAATTTGAAATTGAACATCCCCTTTCACCAGTTGATATTCAAATGAAACAGTACCTGCTTCATGAGCCATGAGAATTGCACTGTAACATGTAGGAAACTCAAGTAGGATTGACCTAAACTCCAAGTTCAAGCCAAAAGAGGAAAATAATTAGTGATTTTTTTTAGGTAACATTAAAAAAGCAATACTCCGATGTTTTAACTTTTATGTTTACCCCCACTCCGTAGGGTTGGGTAAAAAAATGTACACGCACTTTGTAGGTAATTAAATTTCCTGCAAATTTTATTCTGATACTTGTTTTCCTAGAATCAGCCACTACTGTCCTGAAATTTTCCGGTAAATGCGTTTTCTTAATTTTTTTGAAAAATTGGATACCTCCGTAACTATCAATCCTGAAAACAAAATTTAAAAACGTCAATTATAGGAAATTTAATTCTCCACAATATTGAGTAGACCTCTTTTTTAGCTGAAATGCACTTAAGCGAAGATATAAGCGACGATTTGAAGAAAAGTGACAAAAAATGACACATAGTTCTTTATGGTCTAACTTAGCCCCCCCCCCCCCCACTAGTCCAACTTTTTTTAATCTATTGTTCCTCAATTGGACACTCTATTGTGCATTTATTTTCAAGGTTTGTGCCTTTTTTAGTTTTAGAAATATTTCGAAAATTCAAATGGGGTGTAAGTGAAGGCTTATCCCCCCCCCCCATTCATAATAAAACAACGGGGCTTTTATGCATGCTCACAGTCTGTGTCTTTTTAGTTTCGGAGGTATTTGGAAAAATCCAATGGGGCTTAAGTGAACACTTAATCCTTAACCCTCCCAAAAGTTAAACTTTTCTGAAACTGAAACAGAAACGACTGTATTGCTTGGTACCTACTACGATTGTTAAATTAATTTTTCCATATAACAAAGGAGGAAGTTGCAGAGAACACGCGTGTTGACGTTTTAAAAATAGTTGGGTTTCATTATATAAAAGTTCAATTATCCACCATTCGATTTTTCGGAATATTTTTGAAACAAAAAAGGCTCATCCAGTAAGCATATATATGAGCACAATTAACTACAATCGAAGTACTATGCCATACCGTCGTTTAGTAAAAAGAAAAAGAAAAGTAAGGCGGACACCAATTGTGGGTATTTAATACTAAGCAATAATCCTTATTTTTTCAATTATGGAAATCAACTCCAATACATGATCTCATTTTCCGAAAGCTTGTCTTATTAGGGGTTGCAAATTTTAAATGGGAACATTTAGCTTAAATTTGTACATAAATCTAATTTCGTAACTACCGATTCCATCGTTTATCCTTTTTGTAATTAATTTCAATTCGTTTAAGCCAAAAATAACTGCATTGTGCAGAATATAAAAGCATGGTGTAAGAATAACAAACGATCGGGGGCTTATATCTTGCAAGGCCCAAGAATTTGTATAAACCAAGCCTCGTGCGCACCACATGTTACCCTAACCTAACCCAACCCTCAAGCACAGATCCGAAATTCGGCGACTAAATCATAAACAAGAACGAAACAGAGGTTCTCAATTCGAATTAATTTTATGCAGAATAAACTTCTTCATTTTGAAAAATAAGTACTTAACGTTTC